GTGGCGATGTCTACTAGAACAGGTGGTAGTTGGCATCCAACATGGCAGCCTACCTCATACTGTATTAGTGGCGATGTCTACTAGAACAGGTGGTAGTTGGCATCCAACATGGCAACGTACCTCATACTGTATTAGTGGCGATGTCTACTAGAACAGGGAGTAGTTGGCAACCAACATGGCAGCATACCTTATAATGTATTAGTGGCGATATCTACTAGAACAGAAAGTAGTTGGCATCCAACATGGCAGCCTACGTCATACTGTATTAGTGGCGATGTCTTCTAGAACAGGGAGTAGTTGGCATACAAAATGGTAGCCTACCTCATACTGTATTAGTGGCGATGTCTCCTAGAACAGGTGGTAGTTGGCATCCAACATGGCAGCCTACCTCATACTGTATTATTTACGATGTCTACTAGAACAGGGAGTAGTTAGCATCCAACATGGCAGCCTACGTCATACTGTATTAGTGGTTATGTCTTCTAGAACAGGGAGTAGTTGGCATCCAACATGGCAGCCTACCTCATACTGTATTAGTGGAGATGACTACTAGAACAGGGAGTAGTTGGCATCCAACATGACAGCCTACCGTATACTGTATTAGTGGCGATGTCTACTAGAACAGGGAGTGGTTGACATCCAACATGGCAGCCTACCTTATACTGTATTAGTGGCGATGTCTTCTAGAACAGGGAGTAGTTGGCATCCAACATGGCAGCCTACCTCATACTGTATTAGTGGCGATGTCTACTAGAACAGAGAGTAGTTGGCATCCAATATGGTAGCCTACCTCATACTGTATTATTGACGATGTATCCTCGGAGGCGGACATCCGGGCATTTTCTACCGCCTGGCAACCCTCGCGGTGAAAACAAAGACCAAAAACTGCAGAAAACGGTACTTTGCGATGATTGTTGAGAGTCCCCTGAACATTGTAACAAGATTAGCCCTACGTGTGTAACATATATGAATTTGGTTGTTTGGGATTACTTCAAAGTTGAGTTTGTGTTGTTTTCTCGAGTTTTCATCGGTTCCACCGGCGTTCCACAGCAGCGCGCACAAAGCCCATAGAAATACGTGGTACAATGGTG